CATTTAATATTTAAAAAATACATAATCAGATGGAACAAAATATAAAGTTAAGTGGAAATATTGGTATTTTAAGGATAAAAACGACAACAATTTATATAATTAAAAAAATAAAATCATGTAAAAGAAAAGTTCCCAAATCAGTTTCTTTCAACAAAAACTTCAGAAACTTTAACAAAAACTGCAGCTGTGTGTCTGTGTCTGGTGACGTTTTGGTTAAAACATGTTTGTTTTTCATTCAGTGGGTAGAAAATCCAGAAACTTTACTCAAGTAACAGTAGAAATACTTCACAATAAAATTACTCAAAAGTACAGCGTAGTAGAAATACTCCTAAAAGTACATTATATCCAACAAGTTACTCAAGTAAATGTAACTGAGTAAAAAATATGACAAAGTAGTTCTGCTACTCTTACTTGAGTGTAAGTTTTGGATTGTTTACCCAACTTTGTGGACTGGAGGTCAACCGCTACACTCTGGATAAACTCCCTCTCAAACACTTGACCATATTCATATGTTCATTTTCTAAATTATCTCTAATTTGCTCAATAATGTTTCTTTCAGCAGAAAGGAAGACAACCTCCATCCGAATTCCCAGTGGAAGACTGCCAGGTACGCAGCGCATACCGGACCACTCAAGACGTATTGACAGTGCAAACAAGTCGTTGTCCAGGGTGATCCGTCGTTCACGCCGCTGACAGAAACCAGCGACGAAGCAGACCCTGCAGCCAGTTTCCTCCTGAAACAGGATAGCCACCATGTTTACTTTAGACACAAAGCGTCACCTTCCTGATTCCTCTTGATCCATGTCCAGTTTGTCGGACACGACTGACATAATTCAGTGTTGTACCTGTTGCCGCTCTGCGGGAAAACAACACCCATAATATCTTGTGTGTTTGGGTCTTGCAGTAAAGCATGAAGGTGATTTTTATCTGATCCAGTCGTCTCTGAAGTCTTCCAGTGATCCAGGTCACGGTAATCCAACGTGCTTGAAAAGAACTCAACTGAACCTCGGCAGAAAGTTTCGTTGCCCTCTATCAAGCATATTGGCATTGCAATAGTATTCACGCACCACTGAGTGTTTCCATTGTTTTATCAAAACTTGGTTGTATTTGGTTGGGATTTTGTGTAATAGACCCAGACATGGTGGCGCATGAGGGTTTTTATAACGACTTCTGACCTGTTTCCACGACTCTGTTAAAGAAAAGCATCCTCACAGCATTATGCTGCCATTCCCATGCTTCATTCTCCATTCACTTAACTTAATTACCAAACCTCAGACGCCTTCCTAGAGTACTTAGGCCAGGCCTTCCTAGAGTACTTAGGCCAGGCCTTCCTAGAGTACTTAGGCAAGGCCTTCCTAGAGTACTTAGGCCAGGCCTTCCTAGAGTACTTAGGCCAGGCCTTCCTAGAGCACTTAGGCAAGGCAATGTTATTTATATAGCACATTTTCAGCAACAAGGCAATTCAAATTGCTTTACATATCCTTCTCTGGGTTTGCTCTAAATCCTTTTCTGGGTTAATCTGCGACTTCAGACTTAAAAAAATCTGAAGTCTGGAGACAACTGGAGACAGCTGTTTAAACTGGATTTGAATTAGGTGTGTCAGAGTAAAGGAGGCTGCACAAAAATGTACAGCGCACTGCAAAAACAAGTAGTTTTGGTCTAGTTTCAATCCAAATATCATAGTACACTTGAAATAAAACTAAGTTAACTTACAATTAACTTTACAGCAAGATATATGAGCTTGTTTTCGGTCAGTAGTTGCTAAATATTGATGAAAAAGTGCTGGTTATAAATGAAATAATGTGCCAGTGGAATTATTTACTTAGAACAAGCTGCTATATCTTGCTGAAACGTTAATTGTAAGTTAATTTTGTCTTATTTCAAGTATGCTAAGATATTTGCACTAAAACTAGATCAAAAGTTCAGTCATTTAAATGTTACTGATGCTTTTCCTGTCATCCAACCCCCCAAAACTTAGGTAATAAAACCTAAAACAAACAAAAAAAAAATACAGGAAAATGAATCAGCTGAGTAATTACAGAAGAACCACGTTCATGTTTTAACTGCATGAAGAAAAATCGGAATTAGATTTCTAATAACTCTCTTGTTTTAACCAGAGTTTACGTCAATATCAGGCTCAGAGGAAGCAGATCTTTCTGGTTGCGCTCTCTACTTATTACAAACAAGCCACTGTCTTGTCCGTCATTTATCTGACCGACGGCCCTTCACGTACATGAAGTGGTCACAGAAACCTCAGCTGCAAACCACATGCCCAGGCTGCGCTTGTAGGCGGCGCAGCTCCAGTTCATCCACCAGCCCTGTGCAGCTCTTCGTTTCACCAGCGGCTCCATCATGTCCTCAGCTCTACGTGCGTCTGTCCGCTCACAGGTGTGTGAAGCAGAAGGCGGAGATGAAGGAGCAGGAGCAGCAGGGCTACTGGCAGGAGACGGGCCGATGGGCGGGCTACGAGGAGAGCTTGGACCCGCAGGCTGGGGTCTGGGCATCCTCCCAAATCTCCTACCTCACCTTCAAGAGCCTCATCCAGCTGCGGCGCACCATGAACACCGGTCAGTGTGTGCTAACATTTCTAAAAACGTGTCTCTTTGGGAATATTTAATGTGTTTTAAAAGGTGTCTGTGTCCCTTAGAGGTTTAAATATTGATTTAGGGTTTTGTTGTATTGACATCTGCATTTATAACACAACATCTCACCAAGTATTTTTGGTCTGGTTTCTAGTGAAAATATCTTAATATGCTTGAAATAAGACAAAACTTACATGTAACTTCTCAGCAAGTTATAAGAGCTCGTTTTAAGTCAATAATCTTTAATATTGTTAAAAAATATTAGTTCCACTGGCAGATTATTTCACTTATCAAATCAAATTAACATTTATTTGTATAGCACATTTCAGTAGTAAGGCATTTCGAAGGGCTTTACATCATAAAAACACAAAAGTACAAAGTCATAGAACACAGTCAGCATCGAAACATTATATTTTGTCATTGTTACACAACAGATTTTTGATGAATGTTTCACTGATTATGTTTCAGAAGGAACTCTAAACAGCTGGGTGTTTACTCTAGACTTAAAGGAACTCGGTGTTTCAGCTGTTTTGCAGTTTTCTGAAAGTTTATTCCAGATTTGTGGAAAATATCTTGTTGTAAGTGAAATAATTTTGTCTTATTTCTTATTTTGCACTAGAAATTAGACCATAATACTTGGTAAGATTTTGTATTTTTGCAGTGTACTTCAAATTCAGAAGTCTAGCAACATTTGCATTGCACGCATTTTTTTCTCAAAAGTACAGTAAATATAACAGATTTTTTGAATTCCGCTTTTGCAAAATGATGCTAAAGCGGATGATTTTCCTCGTGTTATTAACATGTCTTCTAATATTTCTCCTCCCAAGTTGTGACCATCTTCGACTGCGAGGAGAAAACTTTGGCTGCCATCGCTGAGAAGATGGTTGGCGAGATGGTTAGCAAGAAAGAGATTAGATCTGGAGACCGCGAAGGTGTGCTGAACGCTCTCCTTCAAAACCGCAGGTATCCTTTGAGACGCCACCCGGCAGTGACTCAAACACGGTGACCTACATTTAGGCTTTCAGCTCAGGCAATTAACCAAAGCTCCACTCAGGAGGTTCAGGTTTAACTGCTTTAGTTAGAGAAAGTTGCTGCTGTAACGCCCAAACCTGTGATTATGGGAACCCATCACTGACCACCAAACAATCTGCCTGCAAGGCAACAAATCTGGACAATAGTTACCTTGCATGTTAAAAGCAGAATTAAGAACTTTTTTTTTAACGATACAAGAAATTAAGAAATTCAAATTTACAATATATTGCAAAAGTTTTGGTATCTTGTTATTTTCCCTTCCTTTGGAGTTGTGACAGCTTCAGCTCTGATGTTTCAAAGTGTGTCTTTGAATATTGTTCCTGAAGAGCATTTGTGAGGTCAGACACTGATGCTGGACGAGAAGGCATGCTATCATGTTAGGTATTACTCCGATTTGAAGGAAAAGAATAAAACCATTTTCAAAATATGATTTTATTTATTTTTAAATCAATATAATATTCTGGGGTGTAGTTTTATGACAGAAGGGTCATGAAAACACAAAAATGATCAGAGTGTTAAAGACAAGATAATTTATTTAATCAAAAGATAACATTTAAGTTTTCTAAGCAGCTATAGCTTTCAAAATAAAACTTTTATCGAGAAAATATCTATATTTACATTTTTCTTATTATTTGGGGTCTTTGGACACAATTTATTTCATAGCTATTTGCATTTAAAAGATTGTTGACCCCTTGTTTAACCAAATAAGTAGAATGGATTGAGTTATTTATTTATTAAACGACTGTTTCTTTTTCTGCATTTGCTGACTAGACAAAAATATCTGTAAGTCTCTTTGACACATCAAGGTCCTCAGATTGTTTTTTTTTTTTTTGGAAATTTAAATGAGAAGATTTAATTGACTAACCTGTGTGCATTATATATGTGAAGAAAAAGCTTTAAGCTTGTGACGTTTCTGCCTGCAGTGAATCCACTGACCCAGAGAGCCAAAGGCTGACCGATGGGACGGACCTGCACAGGTTTTCAGTCAGGGAGAGAGTAAGTTCCTTCTGATAAAACAATGAGGCTGCCTTTCAGAATAATCTCTGATATTATTTCTTTCAATTCCTCATAGAGGAAAGCATTTTTCCTCTATGAGACGTCTTTGGTTTTACTGCTGCAGAGCATACAGCAACATATACGCAGAGTTGGGTTGTAACTAGTTACATTTAATTATGTTAATTTGTTGGAAAAAATGTTCATTCTTAAAATGAAAAATTCTCAATAAATGTTTTATTTATGTGATTATGCAATTTTTAAATATTAAATGATTTATGATTTGATCAGTCACTCAGACTTTTACCAAATACTTTTTTACTCTTTCTTGAGTAATTTCTTGGATTGATACTTTTTACTTTTATTCAGAGGTGAGCAGAGTAAAAATTGTACTCGAGTAAGGAGTAGCGCTGCTTCAGCATATTTTTACTCAAGCAAAAGTGAAATGTAGGCAGCCAAGGAATGACTCGAGTAAACAAATATTTAGTAAAATGTATATTCAAGTACTCAAGAACTGAGTAACTGATCAAATTATCAATCATTTAATAATATTTAAAAATTACTCAGACGAACCAAATAAAAAATTAAGTGGAAATATTGGTATTTTAAGTAACAAAAAATAACATAATAAGACAAAATATTTTTCAAAAAGAAAACTTTAACAAAAATAGCAGATCTTTTACCAAAGACTTTTTAATCTCACTGTTTCTCTTACTCCAGTACAATTGTTGGGTACTTTACTCACCTCCTTCTTAAAGATAAAGTATATATTTTTGACTCGTTTTTTTTCTGCGTTGTTCAGAAAGATGAATCCGATCACGTTGAGGCCTGCATGGTGCTCGTAGGTGAGCTCCAATTTTTATTCTTATTTTGCCTTCTTGCAGTGACGGAACTGGTTTCTTACGGCCGACATTTTTATTTTATCAAAGTTCAAACACAACATTTACTGTGTCTCTTTCTGACCAGGAGCCTTGGACTTTCTGGAGAAAGCCACGATTGTTTTTGTGCGGCTGAAGGAAGCGGTGGCCCTCGACTCGGCTCTGGAGGCCCCGGTTCCCGTTCGCTTCGTCTTTGTTCTGATTGGCCCAAGCAAGGTTGACCTGGACTACCACGAGACTGGCCGAGCCATGGCCGCTCTGATGGCTGACAAAGTGAGACATTTGCCGAACATACCGAGTTTTATATATCAAATTATTTGTGAGAGAAATTACAAAATTTTCCCCACTTTCTCCATCCGAGGTTTTTAACCAGGAGGCCTTTCAAGCAAAGACGACCAGGGAGCTAACGGATGCCTTGGTGGATTTTATCGACTGCAGCATTGTCATCCCACCCACTGAAATCAAGAATGAAGGGATGCTCAGCTCCATCATCAGCTTTCAGAAGAAACTCCTGAAGGACAGACTGCACTCTCAAGACCTGACGCTCCGGAGGGACTCCAAAGCTCGCAGAGGTGAGAGTTACTTTTAAAACCACCTCTGGTAAAGATGTGCAAAGAAATTTTATATTTTACTGCAGGAGCATGATCTCACACTCATATTTGAAAATGTACCTGAGTCATATTTCAATATACACTTAGATAAATCTTGCAGATTTATGGATATTTTTTTGTCAGAAGCTCAAACATATGTTGCCCATATAAACAGTTATGGCCATGACTTAGCAGTTTCAAACAAGTGAAACTGGAACAAAGATGGAGAATCCCTGTTTACCATGTCACCAAACTCAGTGGGTATGCTGGGTATGCTGGTAAGGGATGTGAAAATATTCAGTGTTTAGAGAACAGCCACAAAGAGTGCAATCTTCACTTACTTATAGCAGCCATTAATTTTAAGTCTTTTTCAGCTTTTTTTTCAACCAGTGGAGCTAATAAATGTTGTACCAAACCATAAACAGCAGCACCACTGATTATTAGCACGAGTGAATCGGACAAGCTGCTAAATAATGATTGGTGAAAACTTTCATCACATCTAAGGGGAAATATCTCTCTGGGATTGAATTACTACATATTTAACACAATATAACCAGATAAACCAGGATGGTCAATTTGGTTTATAGTTATATGAACAGGGGGGAGCATTTAGAAAGCATTAAATCAATAAATAGTTGTTCATAAACATGTAATTTCCATACGTCCAGTTGATCCTTAACTATTTATAAATAAACAGAAATACAGCAAGAGAAGCAGAAGTACCATTCCCAGTGCTGACGCAGCAGGACACTGTGGATTTCTCACTCTTGATCCCAGCATACGCTCACTGTTCAGGTTAAATGTGCAGAGTTCGGTAGCAACTAGATGCATTTACTCAGTTACAGCTACATTAGTAACTTTTTCTTTAAATGTGCTTTTAGGAGTGTTTTTGCTATGCTGTACTTTTTACTTTTACTTGAGTAATTTTATTACAAAGCATTGCTTCTCTTACTTGACTGAAAATCAAACATATTTCAACAGCTCAGTTTTATATTGAAAGAAATTGATTTGGAAAATATTTATTTTGCCTAAATTTGTTATTTTTGTATTTATTTATACGAATTTTTGTCATCTTGTTACTTAAAATACCAAAATTTCCATTTAATTTTATATTTTGGTCTGTCTGATTATGTAATTTTTAAATATAAAAATAATTGATCGTTTGATCTGTTACTCAGTACTTGAGCCAAATACTTCTTTACTCTTACTTGAGTAATTTCTTGGACGGCTATATTTTAATTTTACTTGAGTACAATCTTTGGGTACTCTGTGCATCTGTGGGTAAAAAGCAGCACATGTAGTTAGAAAAACAAGACAGAACTTGTTCATATTTACTTAATTTCCTCATGTTAAGACCAATATGTTCACCAACATAGAGATTTGGGAGCAGCTTTAACTTGACGGCATTTCTCTGCAGTTTCTATAGCGAGCGCGGCTTCTGTTGAAGATCCGCTCTCACGCACCGGCCGGCCATTCGGCGGGATGATTCGAGACATAAAGAGACGCTACCAATACTACAAGAGCGACCTTACAGATGCCCTGAACGCCCAGGCTCTGGCCGCCATTATTTTCATCTACTTTGCTGCTCTGTCTCCTGCCATCACCTTCGGAGGCCTGCTGGGTGTGTAACCAAATCGAAATCTGGTTTTATTTTCCAGATAGAGCCCCTGAATAACTTTTAAACGTTTCGCTGTGTAGCTGATAAGGTGGAGAACATGATGGGTGTGCCGGAGCTCCTCATCTCCACCAGCATCCAGGGTATCATCTTCTGCTTTGTCGCAGCTCAGCCCATCCTGGTTATCGGTTTTTCCGGCCCTCTTTTGGTGTTCGAAGAGGCCTTCTTTGCTGTGAGTTTTACCTGTCGGGTTTTAAAAACATTTGATCATGGTCGCGGCTCACTTCATCCCTAATTTCCTTCGTTCAGTTCTGTAAGTCCCAGGACATCGAGTACATCGTCGGGAGGGTGTGGGTCGGGGTGTGGCTCGTCATCATCGTGGTGATCATTGTCGCCTTTGAGGGCAGCTTTCTGGTGCGCTACATCTCACGCTTCACCCAGGAAATCTTCTCCATTCTCATCTCCATCATCTTCATTTATGAAACCTTTGCCAAGCTAGGAAGGGTAAACAAAAACTCAAAGACGTATTCTCCCTCCTCAAATAAATCATCTTACATCTCTTTGTTAACTCTCTGTCAACTTCTTCTCAGATCTTCAAGGCGCATCCGCTGATTATGAATTATGATCATGTGAATGCAACATTGGAAAATCCCTGGCACCCAAGGGTGGAGTGGATCACCACGTACGACAACAAAACCGGAAACACAACGGTGATTGAGAACACCGTGAAGCCGCCGTACCCGAACACGGCCCTGCTCTCCATGTGCCTCATGTTTGGCTGCTTCTTCATCGCGTTTTTCCTGCGGCAGTTCAAGAACGGGACTTTCCTTCCTGGAAATGTGAGTCATCGCACGACGGTCAAGACCTTTTACGTTATTATTATAACTGGTTATTTTTCAGGTTTTATTTTGAGTTTAAAAATGAGATCTTATATTTTTTCATACCAGATCTTATTTCCAATTTTAAGAAAATAAATCTCACTCTATTTTCTAAAAAAGAAAGTGTGGCTTTCTTTTCAATCATCTCTTCTGAGAGTTGTATAATGGAGTATTAGGGCCAGGCTACAAAGAGAATACAGTCAAAATATTGACTATATCAAAATGTCTTAAGGTTTTTGTTTTTTTTTTAAGAAAAAAGCTTTTAGGGTTGTTAAGATCTGATGTGAGCAGCTCAGTTTGTGTGGTTTTCTTCAAAATTAAATGTTTTCTTAGTCATTTCAAAGTCCTGCTACTCATAATTTGATGCTGATGTGTTAAAAGATTAAGTATTTATCAATCAAGTTTATTTGAATTGCATGTCCGTATTTGTAAAATCGATACCAAAGTATAACTTCACCAGATGCTAAAAATTCCCCATTTTAATGTTATTTTTTTGTATTAGAGTTCTCTTAAAATTTCTACATCATTCCTCAAATATTATGGCTTCAATCTGCTAATACTGACATTGTTCCCATATTATTTTGACTTGTCTTGTATTACTGCAACTTTCTTTTTGTAACATTATGACTTTATTCTTGTAATAAGAAAAAACTTTGCTTAGCTTGATCAATTCTACTTCATCTTAGAGTTGGTGATGGATCAATAAAATCGATTTATTGCAGTATGGAAGTGGATTTAATAACCAACTGTTTTGGATTTGGCCTCTCTTCTTCAGGTCAGGCGCTTGCTTGGCGACTTTGGAGTTCCCATTGCAATTTTCCTCATGATTGTTGTAGATTATAACATTGAGGATACCTACACTCAGGTTGGACTTTTCTTTCAAAGCTTCTACATTGTTTAAAAGACAGACAGTAAACCTCTAATGCCCTGAACTGACAGCATTTTACTTCTTATGTGCAGAAACTGGTTGTTCCTAAAGGCCTGACGGTGTCCAATCCGGCCAAAAGAGGCTGGCTTATCAATCCCTTTGGGGAGCACAAATCTTTTCCCGTATGGTTGATGTTTGCATCCTGCGTTCCTGCTCTGCTTATCTTCATTCTCATCTTCTTGGAGTCTCAGATCACTACGTGAGTTGCAGTGTCCTGCAAAAACAGATACATTTGTTGACGTTTCCCACACTTTGCTACAGCCACAAACTTTAAGGTAATTTAGTCAGATTTTATGTGACAGACCAACACAAAGAAGTTAGAAGTATATGTTTTCTTATTTACATATTTTTTATAGCAAATAAAAAAAGTATTTTCAGCCCCTTTCTCTCTAAACCACCATGGTAATTTTGAAGGAGCTCAGGGAGAATCTGTCAACATGACTATTAACCGTGCAATCCACAATTTTGGTGAAAATAAATCTACTGCTGAAGAAAATCCAATACTCGTCCTATTTACATTTGCCAAAAGTCACAATGAAGAGGGTAAAATAAACATCTATAAAATTATGTTATCATTGATTCAGATCAAACAGATGTTCCTGGCCTACTTGCCAAAACGCTGTGTTTTGAAAAACGAACACTGACCATCACCCTGAATGCATCTTCACTGCAGAAGAACATGGAGGCATTAGCATCATGCTATGAGGAATACTTTTAGCTTCTCAGAGTTTATTGCACAGCGACTGGCTGGGGGAAAACCTGTGAAAAGCTGAATAAATCCCAACCTAGTTTGTGTTGTTGCCACTTAAAATCCAAACAAAATATCTTGACATTTGTGTTTATAAAGTGGAAAGGTTTTGTAGTTTGCCTCTAGATCTTTAGCACCAGAGAGTGCGGCCTTTGGTTATATTGATTTATCCCTCCTGTCTTTGAGCAGTCTGATCATCAGTAAACCTGAGCGGAAGATGGCCAAAGGCTCCGGGTTCCACTTTGACCTGCTGGTTTTGGTCGGCATGGGAGGACTCAGCGCCATATTTGGTGTGCCTTGGCTGAGCGCTGCCACGGTCAGAACTGTAACCCACGCCAACGCTCTCACGGTCATGAGCAAAGGAACGAAACCCAAGATAGAGAGAGTAGTGGAGCAGCGAATCAGTGGCATTGTGGTAGCTCTGCTTGTTGGTAGGTCCTGCTTATTGTCTTCGTCTCAGGTGTTGATTTGTGGAAATGAAGATTCCTTTATAAAAACATATCCTTGTACATCCAGGTCTGTCAATTCTAATGGAGCCGATCCTAAAGTTGATTCCCATGTCAGCTCTGTTTGGGATCTTCCTCTACATGGGAGTGACGTCACTGAATGGCATCCAGCTGTGGGATCGCATGCTGCTTCTCCTCATTCCAAAGAAATACCATCCAGATGAGCCTTACGCCACCAGAGTAAGACTCCCCCATTTTCACAGGAGCTGAAGAGCAAAATGCAGGAAAGAAGCGAATCCAAAGACATGTAGATACCTGATCCAGAACGCTGCTGCTCAAGTTCTGACTAAAACAAGGACGATAGAGCACATAACACCAGTTTTAAAGTCCCTACACTGAGAGAATAAACTTTAATATGCTGTTGTTAGATTATAAATCACTAATGGCTTTGCACCACAGTACATCAAAGATCTGCTGCTGCCGTATCAACCTTCCAGACCCCTCAGGTCTTCTGGTTCTGCTCTGCATCCCCAGAACCAGAACCAAACATGGAGAAGCAGCATTCAGCTTCTATGCACCTGAAATCTGGAACAAACTTTCTGACAATTGTAAAATATCCAAAATACTGAGTTCCTTTAAAAGTAGACTAAAAACTCACCTGGTTAGAGTTGCTTTTGAACCACAATTAATGAAACATTAATCAAAATTCTGATGTGAAAATTTTTGTTTCAGTTGTTGATGTGTTTTTATTATGTAAAGCACTTTGAACTGCCTAGTTGTTAAAATATGTTATAGAAATAAACTTGATTGATTGATTGATTGATCATATTTAGGACCCAATTTGCTTGACTGATATCTGTGTATGTTTAACACAGGTAAGCACAGGACGAATGCACCTGTACACGGCCATCCAGGTAGTTTGCCTCGGCATCCTGTGGCTCGTAAAGTCCAGCCCGATATCTCTTGCTCTTCCCTTCGTTCTCATCCTCACCATCCCTCTCAGAATGATCATGACTGGACATCTCTTCACCGAACTGGAAATGAAATGTGTAAGAGTCCTTTTATTATTTAATGGTGAAAAATTGCTCTGTTGCATGCATAAATCCCATATTTTTTGTTTATTTTAGCTGGATGCTGATGACGCCAAAGTGACGTTCGAGGAGGAGCCTGGACAGGATGTGTACTGTGAAACTCAGATGCCTTTATAGACATCTGAAATAATGGCTGCTGACACTTTTTTTTTATCCTAAAAGAACTGTATAGTTATTTTATTTTAGGCTCAAGTGAATTTTTAATTCCCTGATGACCAAAGCAAGATATTTAATATTTATTTACTGTATCATGAAAAATGAAGATGCAGATTATATTTATTGAGGGTGATTACTGATAGCTTTAGCATTTTCTGGAAAGCCCCTTAGTTTAAATATGCTTAGAAAATGTTTTGCTTATGCATTTATAAAGCGAAACATTTTATGATTTCTGTATTTTTGCTGGCTGCACAGTGGTGGAGTTGGTAGAGCTGTTGCCTTGCAGCAAGAAGGTTCTGGATTCAATTCCCTGCCCCGGTCTTT